GCCCGTGAGCCATGGCCGCTGAGCCTGCGCGTCCGGAGCCTGTGCTCCGCAATGGGAGAGGCCCCAACAGTGAGAGGCCCGCATACCGCAAAAAAATAAAATAATAATAATAATAATGCCTTCTTCTTGTAGATGGCTCTGATAGGTAGAAAGAGTCTGGAGTAAGAGAATAAGATGCAACAACCATGAAGCCAGAGGGTCCCTTAGGAAGAGTAACTGGTGACTAGAAGCCTGCCTGGGGGTACTATGTGTGGAGCACATGTGAGAAATGCTGAGCATGTATGTGTGTGAGAAGAGGCAGCCATGTGAAGAAGGTGGAGTCCACACCGGAAAACTGGTTGCACGCCCAGGAAAATGGGCAGATCACCAAAATCAACAGGACAACAAAGCTGAAAATGAAAACACAAACAAGACTTGAAGTCAATCAAAATTCCACATATGTCAGTGAAATTTAAGGGAAAGAACCAATGAACTGGGAGGCAAAAGAACAGAATTCTCTTTCCAGCTCTGCCAACCTCTGGCTTTCCAGCCCTGAGTATTTGGGGTTCCACCTCTGAGCCTCAACTTCCTTGGCAATTAAATGATTTGGTGGACTTGACGGCATCATTAACATTGTGCAGTGAGCTGCTTTAGCGCGTGGCCTTTTTTTTTTTATTTCCCATTTTTTTATTGAAGTATAGTTGATTTACAATGTTGTAATTTCTGGTACAGCAAAGTGATTCAGTTATACATATATATACATATTCTTTTTCACATTCTTTTCCATTATGGTTTATTAGAGGGTATTGAATATAGTTCCCTGTGCTATGCAGTAGGACCTTGTTGATTAAATACGTTTTTATATTTTTATTTTTAACCAGTTTTAAATGTTTCTCTAGGGGAATTGGCACATTTAATATTTGGTCTCATTTGTATTATCTTTTTTTCTGTATCTCTATTTTCCTATTCGCTTTTCAATTCTGTACCTTCTATTACAGTAGATTGGGTATCCTTTTTGTCATTTGAAGTACAATCAGAATAAAATCTTATGTAAATTATCTGAGGATTAAAAAGTAGTTCTACCATAATTTTTCATGTTTATAAATAAAACTGAGGCTCCTTTCTCTGGATGATAGAGTCTTGCGTCTTTGGGTTCAGCCCCATTTTCTCCAACCCCCTTGTCTCCCAGGTTCCTCGTTGTTGTATCTTGTTCTCTGGAAACACTTTTTTTTAAAAAAATTATTTATTTCTTTTGTGGTACGCGGGCCTCTCACTGTTGTGGCCTCTCCCATTGCGGAGCACAGGCTCCGGACGCGCAGGCTCAGCGGCCATGGCTCACGGGCC